AAATGTCATATTCCTTTCTAAAGACAGTACGAATACTATATAAAGCGAAATCAGCGGTCTACACGAAACCATTGACAATGTACACAGAGAATAAGACAAATAATATTTTGAACTATGAGGTTAAAAGAACAACAACAACAAAGAATTCATACGTGGGCCAATAAAAAACAAAATAATACAAAATAAAAAACACTATTCGAACTTCAAATCCATAAACTTGCCTTAATATTGACAAAGGATAGATTTACATGAAGACCCTTGAAAATGGGCATGGGGAATCTGATCTATTGTTCTTGAAGAGTGAGGATATTTTACTTTATCGGCGACACCTGCATTACATATGTCAAGTCGAATTACAGTCTATAATGTCATGTTCTCAAAGCCGGGGTCGTAGTAGAGAATAAAGAATGCATTTATATTGAAACTCCTGAATAAATACAAGGAGAATAAGAACAAATGTTCTGGAAGGGAAATTGTCTTTTGTTGCATCGACGACGCCTGCAATGAAATTCAAGGTCACAACGAAAGTAATTTTGCATTCTCAAATCAGGATCCAGGGGTATGACAGAGCAACAACTCGAACTGATGTGTGTCATTACGCTTTTAATGAAATTTATGTCAACAACAAGAAAAAATAGTACCAAATAAAATGGTATATACGTGTGTTCCATTTTGGACATTATTTTGACCAATCTGATACCTATTGCTTTTTTTAAATTGGAGAGCAGATTGCTCCATTGATTTAACAAAAACTTCTATTTTAAGTGTGACAGTGGAATTTCAAGATAAGGGTAACACTTTTTAGAGTATAAAACACAATTAAGAATGAAATAACCATTTGTCTGAACACTAGGCTAAATGGAGCTCAAACTGATTGTGTGGAAACTAATAAAATTGTTCTTGTACGACCTTGAGACGGATTTTACGCAATAATTGTTTGAAAATTGAACATGCATTTAACGTTTATATAGCGAAGACAGAAACAAGTAGGTGTGAACATGCTTAAATCTGGAGATTAAAATTGCTTATATAGACTCGCTGACATTAACTTTAAATCTGCTGAATAAAAAATGTGGCTGAGATAAGTTAAAATCTAATTATTTTAAAAATAATGACAATGACACTGACGTGTTTGGATCTACTTTTAAATCAAATGACTTCTTTCGTTCAAATTAATATTTTTTTTACTCATACATAGTGACGCGCCATAGGTCTCTCACGTTACGTAATTTGATTATATGATACATGTGATGAACGTCCGAAAATCAAGTTCGGTTGTAGCCAAAACTTGATGAAATTAAGAACAAAGCTAGCTCTTGTTTTGGTAGTATCAATATAAGTATCCTTTTCATAGAATTCTATCAATGATGAATAGTTTGGCAAAAGTATTTTTAACGTCAACATTTAGCATTATGTCCATGGGAACGACGTCAAGTTATACCTTCCATGCTTGGAGGAAGTGATATCTTAACAACTGAGCTACGGCTAATAATATAAATATGACCCGAAGAAACACAGGATAAATCTCTAACAGGATATCAAGTTTAATCAAAACTAGATATCAAACGAGGTCACAATCAAAACAGAAAAAAAGAAATAGTCATATAATGGGAAAATGATGTTACCGTTATATGAAAGACCAATGGCACATGACTGTGTGTGAATCAATAGCATTTTGAAAGCGTAATTGTATGTTTTTTTATTGTAATATGTTTTTTTAATTTTTTTGCAATAGATGTGTTTTATTTACTCATTATGATGTCGGTTTGTAGAAACAATTGGTTTTGGTACCTGTCTTTGCAATGGAAAGGTATCATAAAGACGCTTACGATATTTCGCCGTGATCGATTTGGGACGTTTAAGTGCATTAGAGTGAGTGAGATAATGTTGTTAGGGTCGGAGGTAAAACACTGAGATCGGTTGTTGAACGTGAAACATATTTTTATTTTTGTAAATATAATAGGAAAAACGTAAATATAATTGTATCTTGATATCTCCGACACATGAACTGATTTACTTTCTGCTGGTATGCTGTAACAAACGTATCAGTGTTTGCAATAATTATAAGATGGAAAACCCTCATTCATATAATCGTTTATTTAATCAACATAGCACTCGTACTTAATGTATTGTATGACCTAATATATCGTCCGGGAAACTCTGAAATATCCGACATATTTAATATAAGAGAACGTTCATCTGCACTTTTGACACAACATTATAATTTACAAATCGCGTTCAAGGTTAGATATTGGCTGATGTTCGTTACACAGAGAAATGTTGATTTATGGAACAATCTTCCGTCTAATATTTTGAATTAAAACACAGTAAACAATTTGAATATAAAATAGAAAAACACTGGCAAATACAATTTCAAGGAAAAATCCAAATCTTAACGTTGTAACTTTTGAAACATAATTTTATTTCATTTTTTTTTTTATTTCAGAGCCGACTGACAAATTATTAAAAACTCCAAATTTTCACAATAAAATCTATGTATGTGTATACTTAAAATTGTAATTAGTATAAAAAAAACAAGAGAATCATTTGTTTTTGGAGTATAACAAATACTTACATGTATAAATCACATGCACTTTCCTCTGAAGTTTCATATTCACATACCACATGTACGATACGTTAAATCAGTCATCGACGCTCCAGTTATTACCATACCGATATAACAATTTTAGGTTTGATTTGACAAATACTCCAAGCAGATGTATTTCTTGAGTCAAAATAATCCACAAATCATTTATATGATTGGTACATGTAGTATACAACAGACTTTCGAGTCACTACTGCAGTAGTGAGTGGATCTCTTGCAAATTGCGTTTCTCAAGTTCCTCATTTACATTAAAATGTTTGAACAAAAATTGTGTTGGTCAACGACTCTCGATTTTTTAATATGTGTTAATCAATTATATTACATATCAATATGTAAATACAGTGATGACAAAAGCCAACAAAAAAAAAACACAAACAAAAACACTTTTACATCAACAAAGATGGCGACCGCGATCCTGATGATGTCTGCTTTTATGAAACACACGCAGTCGCTGGTGATCCAGGCTGTCAAAATGATACACTTTATAGATATGATATGCATCTCCGGGTCATTAGATGCCGACCTAAGTAAAACCCTAAATAGTTTTTTGTTTGCCACGTAAGTGTGGTCTTGATTGATTAATGGCGACACATTAGAAACGGTACCTAATATGCACGCATTATTAACATTCGTGATGTGACGAAGTGTTAGATGGTGCTTAAAACATTATTCAAGGGAAATAACTCTAACAAAGATCATATGTTTAAAGTGATTTGCGAAATTTTCAAATTATATCAATACAAAACAAAAACGGAAATACCAAAGAGTCAACAAAACCTTAATTTTAACTCAATATCAAAAAAAAAGTATTGTAGAATACGAACAAAGGAACGATTGACATAAATATCCTTGCAAAACATAAAGGCGAATAAGACCATGTGTTCAGGAGGGGTAAGCGTATTTTGCTACATTGACGACACGCGTCATCATAATCTAGCCCAAATTCATACCAAACAGAGAAACATCATATTTCCCTTGAAACTCATATATAACAACAAAACGCAAACTTCACCGATTAGCATAACAAAAAAACATCGACTCATATAGCAAACAAAGAAAATACATATTTCCCTAGGAGATTTTGACAATGAAATATAAAATACATTAATGAGTAAGCTAAAATACAAACCTTTATACCGTACAAAGAAATAGAGTATTTACCTGGGAGATAATGACAACGAACACAAAGTTCACTAATGAGCAACATAAAACATCGACCTTCATATCACACAGTGAAATAGCATGTTTGGCTAGGATATACTGACAACGAACACAAATAAACTAATGAGCAAAAATGATTTCCACCGAATCGTTTATCTAGAGACAATATTAGATAAGTCTTCAAGTGAGTTCTCATTGGAAGTTTGTCTATTTGTACAAGTATAATAAGTTTGAAAATTGCTACAACGAGGAGATTTAAAGGCTGAAAATCAACACATGTGGTCTCTGAAATTAAATGCATTTTGCACGTCACATTATCTCTATCACACATACTAACAGATTGTAACAAGTCAGGTAATTACTATGCATCGAGCAGTGTATCGCTTTGATAAGCGCGTCAACATTTAGCAATAATGGTCACCTCATTGACATACCTACAAACGTGACTATCTTAACTCACGATAATTAACATTCCGTTCATTGATTGTTACATAACAACACGGAGGCACGGTAATGTAGTGGTAGGACGCCGGGATCGTGACCGAAGGCTGGCGGAGCCTCGCACTGTCGGGCATCCAATTTCCACGGCAGATATAAGTGTTTCTGATAAGTAATATGTACAATAAGAAAATTATAACATCGTATACCCTCTACACATTCATTTCCTCATAATGCTAAAAACATTGTATATCAACAGGACTTTGATCAACAATTCAGCCGTAATAAGTTACCGAGCATCAATACCTTAATTTTTTATGTTGTTTCTAAACCAATCATGTTGGGCTCCCTTTCCTCTTCATGTCGAGGCTCAGGTGTTCGAAAGCACAACTGCTTCAACTTCCGAAATAACGAAAGCGCCATTTCAACCTGTTGTCGCATCGTTAGCAATAAATAAATCACAAGAATGCCGGTAACAAAAGCTAACAAAGCGATCGGGTATATAGTAACATCTATTGTTTTAACTGTTGTACATCCAAGTTCATTCAGGCTCAAATCGAAAATTATCCTACCTTTGAGAGATGGTGGACTCGCACACTTTAAATCTCGGAGATATTTATACTGACCCACGACTCCAAACTTTGTTTCATATCTTGAATTATTGGAGGCAAAGTTAACGAAATCTGCCATATGGCAGTCACAAATATATGGATTGTTTCGTATATCCACTTTAACGAAGCGATGATGTTGGATTCTCATCAATGCAATGAGTGTTATGGTAGTAATGTTATTGTACCTTAAGTCAAGTAGTCCAACACTTGGATCTTCGCTCTCCATCCCATAGTCCATAACGGTTTGAAATTCTTTTATAAAGTTATACGTCAAATCTAAATGCTTAAGTCGGGGAAAATACAACCTCCAATCGTCCAGGCGTTCTGGTAGCTCCGTCAACGAAGATGCGGAAAGATTTAGCGTGCGGAGCACAGGATAGTTAGAATTCTGAAGCAACACGCTGTCGTGCTTTGATCCTAGACTTGTTGCCTTACTTTGATCAATTAACAATAGTTGCGTGTAGTTACATGTGATAGGTGATACGGATACTCCTCTGTGGTAATTTCGGGGTGTATGGCTGGACATATTGGCGTCGACTTCTTCTATTATAGAATCGGGAATAGTCTTGAACTGGTATGAAATATTTCTATTGATGGCAGCAAAGAGGTGTTCTTCGGGCCCACATTTCGCCGCCTTTGTAACCAAGTTAACGTTGTTGGTGACGTTCATAAAATCGATGACATCGATATACATCACACAGTTGGTAATGCTGTAGTATCTTAATGTATCTGGGACTTGGTTGATAGATTTATCAAAATAATCTGCCGTGTAATTCACCAGCAAACAGTTGCTGACGGAAATATAATTCAGACCTGCTGCACGAAGAGGCCATTGCAGTGTGACATTTCCTCCATTATAGCATCGAACTGTGATGGCGTAGCTCTTTATGCTAGACTGCTCCTGTAGGAAGCGTCTTAAATCATGAAAGTTCAACACGTCACCTGGGCCTATTGCACAAAATAGGCAAGAAGGGGAATCCCCTCTTCTGGTCATGTCGAAAACAATTTCCTCCATTGACGAATCCATACAGGCATTGATAGGTTTGACTCGGCAGACTTTTCTCCATTCTGCTGTAGTAGTGTCGATACGTGCATCCGTACGCATTTTAGCATGTGTCATAGAGAATTTTGTTCTCGTTGTATTGTGAGTTTTCAATGAAAATTTACCTTCAGATCCATATCTTTCCTCTGATTTGCATGAATTAGTCACCCAGAGAGTCAAATATGCTATGCATATGCAATATCTGGCAAGCATGCTGCCTCTTTTTGAAGAAAACATGATAAATGCTGAAGTGTTCTTCTTATACGTGATTGCACACCAACGCGTCTGTATTTGTCGCTTCACATAAGGAAACTCTTGATGTCAACCAATCGAAAATACCTCAAGTTTCTTGGAACAACACGGCTGAATGACGCATACAATTTGCTTGTTCTCCTTTAATAAGAAAACATACTTCCTAACGTGATAATGAACCGTACTAAATGCAGGGTTGATAGGCTATAGCTGATGTCCAAATGGCTGACAGAGGCGCATTAATTGCGAACAATAAAGGTCAAGGCTGTGAGTGACCGACACTATGGCGCATAGGGGGAATTCTGCTTATATGATGCACATGACTGCTGAAAGAACTTTTGTGTTTATGCTATATATGAAGTGAAGATTCCTGGAAAGTAAGTTCAACCACATGATAGAATATGAAGAAACTAAACAAATCAACGCTGTTGTCAGCAATACATTGGTGAAACGTATATTCAAACAAAGTTTTTCTACAATGTCACATTTAAAAAATGTCTTGAAACTATTACTGATGAGTCCTTCGTGCAAGCCCCAGTTAAAACATACACACACCATTAAAATGTTCACAGATTGATTCAATTTATATTTTGAACTTAAACAGGTAAGCTCGTTATTAAATTAGCTCACTTACAATAAATGCCATAGAAAACTATGAACAGACACGTTGAGCGCAATCATGACTTACCGTGAAAAGCGCTAAAAATGTTAACACCGCAAAACTTTCTGCCCTCTGAACTACAGGACATGTTTACAAATTAGAATTACAAATTAATCAGTTAGTTAGGCTGTATATTGATCCAGAAAATCACAACATGCTCAAACGAATTAACTTCAAATTAAAGATACCCGTGCCATTGTCAAAAACTGTAAACTATGACATTGCAGTGGAGATTTGTTTAACTGTCATGATATTGACTTTCATAAATCCTTTTTGAAAAAAATAAAAATATTGCTGAACTTTTATAAAAAAAAAAAGTAGATGAAAGAAAAATTATAAAATAAAAAATATCACCAACAGTGTTCTGCGTGCAAAACACACACAACATGGCAAAGCCTGAATTTGAACCCTGGACATCCGATGAGCTCAATACTTTATAGACAACTGTAATACTCTAGCAAATGTTTTATCCGAAATTAAATTAAGGGCAGTTTACTGTACATAAGAAAATCTACAATGGAGTTCTTTAATGTTTTGCCTTGTGGGACAAGGTTCCTTAATCACTTTTATATACATAGGTCCGTTGTTTACAGGCTATCATATGGGCTTGGTTCAGTCGTATTCATTTGTCACGATGTCACATCTTAATCTGCTCAACAAATCAAAATTAAAATGAACCCATAATTTATCCTTGATTCGTCGCGCAGCTCAGTTCCTTTTGATTGATGGGAGATAGTCAACAGCGGTGTACATAAGTACATTGTTGTATTTTTTAATCGCATGTTTTGCAGTAGTAAATGAATCGTCATGCCCTGCAGCAAAACATGTTCTTTTCCCTCGTATTAACTCGAGAAGATGACAGCGAAAAATGTCTCTGTGTTACTATTTATAGACATCAGTTTATTCAAACATTACTTTTAAACAGATAGATAAATGCATTTTTTCTGTAGAGGGATACCAAGTTTAAATTAAAATTCATTACACTTTGTAAAGATACGAAAAAAATAAAAGGAACCATTAATATTGTTATGAGTAACGGGACTGGTTGTTTTGAAATCAAAATGCTTTTTATTATTTTACAGCATGTCACTCTACATTTTAGCAGGCATCACTTGATAATTAACTACAGTGTTTACACTACGTGGTATTTTCAGCAGGTGTATAGTTTTACACCTTTCAATCGCATTTTTACATGAAATACGTTTTATTTCACTGCAAGTTATTATTATGTTTCCTCTATGGTCTAACAAGTTTTGTAAGTTAAAGTATTCTCTTAATATTCATTAATACTCATTCGTCTTAACGTGTCCATGTTATTTATATTTTCTTATTTAGTCCAGGACCTGGTAATTTTTACTTTTGTCACAATGGTTTTCATATGTATACTACCTCTGTATATCCTGTATAAATGCGTTTATAACGTGTTCGCCGGCCGTTTAAAAAACACGTCACTCCATGATGCGGAGGCTGACTCTCAAGTAGAAGTTGTACTTTTATTCACTTACATGTATTATTTTATCATTTCGTTGACTAATTGTGTCTCTTGGTTGTCTTGAAAAAGGAGCGGGAACCCCAAACATTCGGCTTTATTCTGTCCCCATGGTCGGCATCATTTAGTGTATCCATTTATCTCATACGGGAATGATTTATTAGCCTTTTCACTCGTGCTAACCGCATTCCTTTCATACAACATAATAATTTCATACTTTATGAACCATTTAATTTTCTCCACTCATCTCGTTACTCTGCGTGTTTCAATACTTAAAAAAAATTAAATACGTGCGCATGTTAATAACAAAGTTCTAACTGTTGTAGACAAGTACATTCAAAGATCTTTATCGGTAACCTTTGACATAGGCAAATCGACGATTGACAAGCTCAATGAAATACTACCTCGCAACAAACTCTTAAAACAATGCAATTTCTTTTATTATTTTTTTACTTATTTCAATTAAATGAATATGTCTTAAAATAACTTATGTGGGTTTTTTTGAAGAAAACTTCCCTTTTTTACACCACTAATGTAAATAAATGAATAACTGTGCTCTGAAAAGGCTAAAGTGGATTGTATCGTGTTTTTGTTGCATGTGAAGAACTATATGGTAAATGGCTAAATATGAGACATATATTTTCATCAGACACTTTCATAATTTTCAATATTTAATTGGTGACTTATAATATCCATCGGTCTTTTCCATACTATTGTTGTGTTATGATATATGTTTATGTTAAGTAAAATATATTAAAAAGATGAACGTCAGACACACAAGTTATTGCACGTTTAAATTGTGGTAATAGATACAGTTTACCAAAATCATGCACATTGTATCATACAGCTGTTTCGTCCTTCCGAGACTCGTCGTTGATGATAGGAGCCAAAATGGTAAAAATCGAAATTGGACTAAACTATTGTTGAAAGAGAAGAGAAGGAGAGGTGGGTAAAACCCCTGAATTTTATGAATTTAAACAATTCAAATTGATGTGTACTGGTGAATTTAAAAGGTTAAAAAAGAAAAACAAGTTATATAACTGATTGTTTCAAATCTATTAAAGCTCTTTGTAAAAGCAGTTTACCTTGGACGGGTCATATACAGGTTACTATCATTTCTGGTCTTTTTCTTCTGCTCAAAATGAAAACTTTTCCACGAATCTTAACAATCACACGAAGTCTCAAACTTCTATGTAAATGACATAACAAAATCACGAATTCAATCAATGTGACACCTTGAATCAATATAACGTTTATACGATATTTTCTTAGAGTAGAGGCCAACGTGGTTTATTAAATTATAATCAAATGGTAGGATAATTCAATCTGAAAACACATATGTAAATGTAGCTTCGCTGTTTGTAATATTACTTGTAAATGTGATTAAATTAATTATTTGGTAATATCTTACACGCAAATGATTAAGAAAAGACAAAATGTAAAATATATAGCACCAGTAAGATATCCAAGCTTTCGGACTTTCAGCAGGATGTAATAGAAAAATTAAAAAGAAAAGAAGTAAAACACAGCAATACAATTTCTTTGAAAGTGACTTCTTTTATTGTATTCAGCGTAATAATGTGGGTTGGTACGTAAGCTATATTGTGATTTTTTTTTATGAAAGTAAAATAATGAAATAATTTCATATAATGTAATACTTAGTCATATCACAACATATATATCATTCCTCCAACTTTATTTACACATGTAATTGTCAGCATCCAATTTCATTAAAGTTTAAATCTACAATTGTTCGACCTTTCAAGGAGGGTGGTTCTTGGCATTTTAGGCGTCGCAAATAGTCGTATTGGCTAGCATTTCCTCCTTTCATCAGATCATTAGGCCGACTAAAATAATCAATGAAGTCTCGCATATCACAGTCACAAATAAAGGGATTGTTTCTGATGTCAATCTTTACAAAACTATGATATCGTAAATATTCTAGTTCGTCCAATGCTATAGTAGATATACGATTGTATCGAAGATCTAGAGTACCAATTTTGGATTCTCGAAATCTGTCTCCATAATCCAACACACCACTGAAGTCTGCGATGTTATTGTGTGACAGATCAAGAGTCATTAGTCTAGGTAGATATAATCTCCAGTCATTGAACCTTTCTGGTATTTTACTAAGAAATGAATCGGAAACTTTTAGAGTCTGTAGTTTAGGGTAACCTGCATTGTGGACAAGAATGCTGTCAAACTTTGCGCCTCGGGTGTTAGACACACTGATATCCATTTCGAAGAGGTTTGAATAAACACAGATATGGGAGGATGTAAGAAGACCCCGGATGAAATTTGTAGCCGTATACGAGGTAAAATTTGTCAAAATTTCGTTTTCAATTCTTTCTGGTAATTCCGCAAATGCATACGAAATATTTCTTGCAATTGAGACCATGATATTCTTCTCGGGTCCACACTTTGCTGATTTTGTCATGTTGCTCATTTCGTTGGCAACAGCCGCAAGATTTAAAATGTCAACATACATGACTGAGTCTGTAATACTACTCTGTATCAACGTATCGGGAATAGTATCGATGGTGGTGTCGAAATATTCTGACATATAGTCTACTATTAAACAGTTTGTGATAGAGATATATTCCAGACCGGCTGCACGCATTGGAAACGGTAGAGTGATGTTTCCACCATCATGGCATCGAACAGCCATTGCATAATTCCTACTTGAATGTTGAAGAAAACTTCTGAAGTCATGAAAATTCCAAATGTCGTTTGGACCGACATCACACACAACACAAGTATGCAGTTTCTTTCTCATTACATTGACAACTCGTGTGTCTGTCGTCGAACCGAGGCATGACAACCCGGGCTTTGCCTTGCAGATATTGTACCATTGAGATGGCAAACGGTTATGTGATCTTTGTAGGTTGCCGTAGTCAACCATTGTTGACAGCCATAGCAAACTCAGCAGAATCTGGTTAATTGGCATCTTCGAATGAAGTGTGAACTGTTACACAAATCGGTATTGCTCCAACACCTTTATATCTAAATAAGATCCGATTTTTTTTTTAATCCTAACCGGATAAAGATCTTTAAATAGAAACAAAGAACATGATTGTACTTTGTCATAATTTACTTAATAGGATATTGGGGATTACCACTAGCGTTTCCGCCAAATGAAGAAGTCAAGAAATGTTACTAGTTGAATGGTTGACAGACTAGAATATTTGCTTGAATCAATTGAGGTTTAAGCTTTGATGTGTAAGTCATAAAAACGTTTCCTCCTCATTAAAATGAAAACAGAATACATGAATCCACAACTAATTGTATTTACTAATACAAGCGTGTTGAGTAAACAACTGAATCGTCTGTGTATCTAACAATAGCCGGTTAAGAAGCCTGTGTTGAGGTCAGTTTTACGGTGTGTTCCCTGAACGCAAACATATTGAGAACAATAAGTAGAAACATCAAAGGGAGGGAAATTATAGTTTGTATCATATATGTACTATGTTTACCTGATATATTTTACCTGTAGATCTACCTGTGATTGTTACAGGTAAAAAGTGTGTATCATATGTGTACTATATTCTACATGTAGATCTACCTGTGACAGCCCCGACGGTTGATCTTCAACATCAATGTGAATGAAAACTAAGACATTAATATCAAGTGCAATATTTTTATTTGATAAATCCATACTTAATATCAATATATTATTTACATAAAATACAAATAGAACAGTGAAAGACATGATATATTTTAAAAGATATTAAATAATGAATCTTAGTCAGTACATTACTAATATAGAGCAGTTATTTACATAGATACATTACGGTCATCTGCCTTATGCTGATGCATATTAAACAAAAGAATACTGACAAATCATTTCTCATAAATCTCAGTGTGAAACATGTAACATTACATATAAAATAAATAAACAGCACTAATGATTATCATCCGAGATTAAAGTACACAGTTATAAAATCACAGCACTGTCCATTTGGTTCTATTCACCAGAGTTTTATGTATAAAGTCAATTCAACCTAAGTGAATAAGCTGGGATGCTGCGTCGGCGTAGGTCATGATGTCGATGGTGTTGTTCTCCAGTCTCTGTTTCAGTAGGGCAAAGCGAGTGTCGAGCTATCTGTACTTCCTGTGTCGGAGTCGTTTGGTTCCTCCTGCGTGTCGTTGAAGTCTATTGATCTCGTTTGCAGCCTGTATGTCCTTGAATGTCTGGATGATGGTAAAGATGTTCGGATGGGCGTGATGTACAATATTCTTCAGCTTCCCGTGCCAGGCTTCCAAATTGTTATTTGTGCGTGGTCCCACGGTGTCGTAGTGGTTCAAAACCGGTCGGTCTCCATCCATTCACTGGTCAACAATGTAGTCTGTGAATGGTGTAACGTCTGCTGTTAGGTCGGCGTCCTCGAAGTCATCTAAAGCTCGAAACCAAACATCTTCAACTTGGTGCTGGGGTACAAGTTGCAAAACAGCTGCGCGGCGAACCAGTCTTCTAGTGTCCTCATTGTCACGGTAGGGAAGTTGTAGTCCAGCCATATGTGCCTTTCGCCAAACGTATTGAGTGAAGGTAGCAGTATACAGTAGAGGGTTGTGGCCATGGGTGATATTTTTGTTAAATGGCTAACCCCTGTATAATGAAATGTAAAAAAAAATATAAAAATAAAACTGTACTAAAATTGGTATAAGCATGATGAAGTGGGCTATGTTAAGCTTCACATTTATATAAAAAAAAAGATTCTTTTGGTTCGAGAAAAATATTTACGCCATAATCCGAAAGGGTGAAAAGCTAGCTTTACAGAACGTAAAATTTTGACAACAGCACACGACGCAAAATTGCAAAAAAATCAAGTTTTACAACTTTACTGGGACCCAGATAATTCTGCAACCAGGTAGGTAATCTTTAATTTCAGACAGAACTTAGGGAAAAAAAGCAATTTTTGGCATTTTTTGGTAATTTTTGATGCGGTAACCATGGTTTTCACACAAGTGCCATACATAGAAAAAAGAGGTTAATACACTTCTCAGTGCTTTATATGTATTGTAAATGTAATGCAGTTTACAAATATATATACATGTGTACATGTGTTGTGTAGGGTAAATCCGCTGTGTTTACATTTCCTCGACAAGTGCCTTGTTTACCAGTAGTGGTTTCTGTCAATCTTCCCTCGAGTTCAATGTCCTAGGTAATGGTTGGTAGCTTTGGTGTTAGCTTGCGTCTAGCTCTGTACAGTTGAAAAGTGTTGAAGGTGGGTATCTTCTCCAAAACGGCTCTTGTCTCATCATCCCATCAGTCCTCGCGCAGTCTATAGAGTTCCTCATTGAAGATGGTAGGAATTGGAATAATGTCTTGCTGGCAGCGGTCAGTAATGGAGTTCATGATCTCCTTGGCAACGATGCTGGCGTGATCTCCCGGGTGATTGTGTGGATATCGTCCGACTCCGACTATGATGTTGTTGCAGGTATTGATCGTAGCAAGACAATTGGTGATGGTGCATCTCCAGTAAGTTCTGAAATAAATAAAAAGGGATTCTTAATTTCGATGACAAATGGTTAATATACTCCCAAATGTATGGTATGAAAAAATCATTTAAACATTTAAGAATTACAGATAGTATTACTAAGCAACCATTAATTACTTTATCAATAATATCATAAAGTGAAATATGCAAACAGTTAAGCATTTTCTCTCTTATTACTTTAATATTGCAACCAGAAACAGTTTCATTTCTATGTTTTAATGTTCTTTCCAAAATTCAATCAACTTCTGACTTATTTATTGGTAAATAATAAACCTACGATGACCTTTCTCCACGAGATGACCTAATTCTGTATAAGTGACCGTTGTATGCTAAGTTGTTACCACCTATTCTATTTCTAATAAACTTATTATCTAACTGAGCATTAGCCATGATTGGAAATTCACAGTATCAGTACAATTGTAGAATGATAGCATTAAAGATAATTTTGAAGTTTATATAGATAGATAGCTTGGATACTCACCTCAAAGTGTCATGCCATCTGTAGCTTGGGCTCCATTAATACAGTTCACTATTTTCTTAACTGATCTCAGAGAAGTGAACAGTTTTTAAATTAATGCATTTCATTTGCAATATAACTTTTGAACCAGTAACTTTAACAAATTATCTTGATAGAAAATGATAAAATAAATGAAATTCATGTACTGTAATCGGAATGAAAAAATAAAATAAAAGCATTAAACGTATATAATAAATGTACGTCTTCATATACATTTAATTTCATATACAAAATCATAACATATCAATCTGAATTGCTTTCACATGTACAGGTGAAAAACACAGGTAAAAACACAGGTAAAAACCACAGGTAAATCAAACTAACTTTAACGAAATAGGCTATAATCACTATGAAAACATATTTCCTAATACATCTGTATGTGTTTTTAAAATGTATGCGTTCAGGGATACAACCAGTTATTCACATAAAACATCCTGATATGTCCACGATCGATTTCACAGTGACCAATAATGAAGGCGATGTCACTGGCTAAAAAAGCGGGATGAGCATGTGCAGGATATACTTTTCCTAGTCATCATATTTTCTTTTATGAATGTAAACAATGACGAAACTAAGAGTTGGGATACATGTGTACAGTGGAGTTTTCATAATCGTCACTTTTATGATGATTTTAAAATACTGGTCGTAAAACGTCATAATAACCCTCACATATTCGAGATGATTAACATATGCAGGAGTGTTTCAGTGCCCCCGTACCGCTGCCAAAAACTGTAATTACGCATCGGAAACCCAGTGGTGTTTCCGGCATGACTTTATCGTTGATAAATCAATTCTGAAAAGAAAACCATAGGTTGCGGGAATTTCATTAACAAAAATTAAGACGAAAAAAACAAACAAACAAAAAACAGTGTTCTGAGTGTAAAACTTCAACGGGACTTTGCAAGGATTCGAACTCAGGACTTCATATTGTTAAAGTGTTGCTCTACCTGGTCGACAAAAACATCATGACCCAGCTGTACTACGGGGAAGTAGCTGTATGTACCAAATACCACAGTGCAGTGAGGCAGCGATCCTTAAATCAAGGGCATCTTTATTTTTAATGTGCAAATTGTAATTGCTTCTGTGGAAATATTAACATTGAGTTTTTCAGGAAGGACGCGCCTGGCAAACTTGATATTATTATTACGTTTCTAGAAGTATTTGTTTCTGTTTTGTTATAAAACATTGAATACGGTGTCGTTGAAATTAAGTTTCAAATTTTGAACTAAATTAACCTTTTTTTGAAATACAAATTCAGATTTAGATTCCTACATTTTCGCACTACTACAATCATTTTAGTACGTATTTTTACAGAATAACATTAATTTACTCATAACCTTTTGTGAATGATGCTATTTCACTTTTGTCTCGCTACAGTTCATCAATAAATCCGTTAAGCATTGTAATACAATATCGAAGTAAGCTGTTTACAACGTTCTCCAAATACTGGTCAACCTCACGACCTGTTTCTGGTGTGCTTTTTTATCATTTAGATATACTGTGTGCCTAATGGAATATAAACTTATGAATTGATATAATATAATCAACCTACGTATTTATCTTAGCATCGAATTCCTCAATTTAGCATGGATTATTTCCCGTTGACTTTGCTTTCATCAAATAAATACAAATCTAATACGATAGAATATTTGCTATTTAAATTAGGGACGGCGACATTCAAAACGAATAACATATATCTGTGAGTTAAGGTGATGGAGTCCTTCTTTTGTCGGTCGTCATATTATTTACATATGATTTGACATCATTTAGTTCTGCGCTGGTAAATAAATCCGGAGGCATTCGAACGCCCTAGAGTATCCCTGCACTACACTGAAAGGATAAAAACTTTCCCCTAGCGTTTTCTTTATGGCCACTCCAGACTAATGACACAGTAAGTGGGTTCGCTCCTCAATGCACGCAGGTAATGTCGTTTGTCGTTTACTCTACACCTAAGAAGACCCCGTTCATGCCACATCAGCTTGACAAAGTATTTTCGAGTAAACCTGTTTCAAATTATAAATAAAATAAATGTACTAATTTTGGATTGAACTGTCACCAAATCAAGTAAAATATATTAAAACATAAATTATATCATTTTAATTACAACTCCTATCTGACATAAGCAACTAAACATAACATGGAAATCGCAGCCGAGGGTACTTCATCCATAGCCCCCAAAATGTTACTCTTTTATCGTTCATTAATGTTCATTTATGGGATCAAATCACCTAGGTCGGATCAAGGTAAAAGGTGATTGAATTTTTGCCAATTGATGCAGATATACAACAGCATCCAGAATTAAGATTAAACTGTTATTTGTAGCTGTGCGGGATCACAGCGTCGCACGGGTTAAAGATTCAAGAAATGTTCGACTTTTTAAATGTAGTGTATGAAATTGAGTCTGAAATGTTTTTCGATTTCACAGTTCGATACTGTTGTTTACTGTTGCTAAGGAACCGATTATTGCTCACCTGTAACGTGCATTCAAATTAAAAGGGCTATTTTTGAACAACTATATTTAGCAATCATTTGAAATCGCTGCATTGAAACGGTACGAAGTTCATGACTTATCAACACAATATATAAATATATGTGAAAGTTGAACGTACCAGCAGTGACAATCGCTATGTAGTGTTAAATGGATCAGGGTTTTGGATATCGTCTAAAAACAAAAATGGATTTAATCAACATTCAAGCATTTTCACTGATATTTCTTCTTCAGGTATGCTCAGGTAAGTTTTATTTTATTCATTTTTGCTACTGTTGTTTAATGCTTTAAATGTTATTCCGGAAAGACACTTTAAGTCCCTGTACCATTAAAGATGTGATTCCGTGCCAGACGCCAAACGTCAGTGTTATTTCTTGTAAAATGACCATCATCGATTATCACTTACGTCAACGTTTTTAAAGACAACAAAGATCTGTATTGTTTTGTTTAGTTATATATGCCTTCATTCGTGTCTTTGAATAATGATATGCTGAATAGACAATTACTATAGGTAAATCCAGTATAAGAATTTCCAGATTATGAATGAAGGAAAATCCAGCTTTGCCTTCAGGATGTGTGTTTTGATCTGTCATGTCACGACATTTGATGAATGAAAATATTATGGATTTGAAAGATATTTGGCAAAAGAACTTAAAACGATAATTAAATAAATGTAATTTTATCAAACGACTCTAATTACACGCGTGACTGATTATTATTTTAAAATTTTAGTTTGTTTCTTTTAAATATAACACTCAAACAAACTAATATTGTATAAATAACAAGTGAAATGAAACAGGAATAATATATTTCTTGGGAGTGATTGTATCTTTAATGAAATATTTGCAAGTGATGGTTAATTAATTTCTAACAGTTGTGTCCGAGAGTTGTACCTTTTACACGAGCGCCACGACGTTGGTTCGAACATGCACTACCGGATGTTGTGACAGTGGATGCTGTGCAGATGATTACAAATCGTAAGTATAATGTTATACGTCATTTTGTTTCATTTATTGAATGCGTATCGTATGTATTACGTGAATGTTAAGTTACTAGTATATAAATTTGTACTATTAGTATATAATATTGCGCTAGTGAAATATATATTATATTTTTAAAACACGTGTATACTATTACTTTTCACATATTGTATTGTTGTATTATATTTCATATGCGTAAAAAATAATATATGCCACAAGTTTGACCAATATTATGTTATACAAGTTATTTATAATTTAATTCACAAAGTGATTAACAAAGACCTATCACTACAAACACATATTTGAATATTCATTCTAGATCTAGATCTTTTGTCTGAAAGCTTGGATAAAGAATGACTATTGACATTCGTTTTATTACGTTCCCCGTAAGGTTATAATGATGAACTCTACAGAAATAAGTATGTACAATTTGAAAAATAGATACAAATTATGGATGGAAAAAGTAAAAATACCTTTCAGATTAAAAAATTTCAATAGATACTTTCCTTCAATCGTAGGTTGATATTGTTAATTTGCTTTCTCTAAGAAAAACTATTTTGTCGGAACATGAATTCTTGGAGTACGAGTACCAACTCAAACTCAGAATTACTTTATATCAAACATGTAATAACTTCGTGGACATATGAATTCCTGGATGGAGATTACCAACGAAAAATTTGTGATTTTACAGTATACTATATATTTTCTTATGATATTCCAGGTTAGCAATAATCCTAGGAACTGTGTTTGGGTGTCTGCTGTTGATATTCATCATTGCAATAGTGGTAGTTTGTTTGACGAGAGACCGCTGGTCGAAACGAGTCAATCCTATACCTAAAGGTATGTTTCTCACCTTTCTGTCGTAGTTTTGTAGTACCGTAACAACGATGAACATGGTTAAGCGTATGTAACAAACGTTCAATAATACATTTTACCTATGACTTATGATACCGGATAAATAATCACAAAATATAATGAGGGTTTGTATAATTGCTTAGGAAAGAGACGTAAACATATTATATTGCTTTATATGTCTCTGCTTTGGAGAAGCAAATTTCCAAACAGTTTTCGCCTTTTTTAAATGAATACTGTAACTTACTTCTCGTATTACTTATTTGGCAGGACCTTAGTATATAAGCATGTTAAAGAGATTAAGGATGGGCAGTGTGTCTGTGGCAAAACACTTATTGTTTATCGCTCTTTTCAACATGGTATTTATGTATGATAACCCGTACGTTTACTTGTCACAGATTCTGTTCAGAAAAAGAGGAATGATGACGTAATGCTTACTGACATGGAAACCAACAACACAGCGTCAGTGTGATTAGAGGCAACGTAAAGTAATCACAAGGAATTGTTTACTCTAAAGTGTATATTCATCGTGATATGGAATGTGTTACGTAAATACTGAAGTTGGATTCCGTGAAATTTGAAAATGTGTCTTAGATAATTCAAACTTAACAATGACTAGGTAATTGTTAGAAACACTTTAACAACAACAAATGACATCGCAATGTTAAAAGTTGTTATTGTCAAGTGAACTTGGCAGTGAACGGGTTAGCCGTGAGCGAAATGCCACATGACCTCCTTCGCAGTTTAATTTGTTTTCGCATGACCAAGTGCATTCGGTACCTCATTGACCTTTCCATTGAAAGTTGTGTTCCAAGAATGGTAAAATCGTCAACAAAGTTGAAATGTCACATGAACTGTAACATACACTGACACGTACTATATGACTTTAACATGAACACAATAACGGTGATATGTGTTACTTTCAATACCGTTCTGGATTAATCCCAGTTATGAACGGACAGTGTGTACCATGGTGCCAACAGAGATGAACAGCGTAGCCATGTAATGCTGAAACATATTTACTTTGGAGAAAAACTGCTGATGGAATTAATATGTTTTACTATGTAGTAAATAATGATTTTTGTTTAGAAATACTCGTCATTGTATTTAAAATAAACGATATTAAATAGCTAAATGCTGATTCAGAAGAGCAGGTGACATCAACAACAACAAATAAATAAATACCGGTATTAAGTTGAAAATTCGGGCTTAAACTAATGTATTGCAATTTACAATCATCCGTTCATTGCATGTAAACGTTATTGATGAGGATCAACAGTTCCTCCAAAACCGTAAATCTTTCATAATTTCATAAAAATGGTTCCATTGAAAGATATTTCATTTCATATATAATTTACATAATGATGTGTATGTCATATTATGGTCATGGGATGAGGATCTCAACCGTTTCAAGTTATGGCTCTGGAATTGAGTCCCTATGGGTTGGGACAGACCCCAGGGTCAATTATTATTATGTCATGATTGTGTTTGTTTCTTGATGCTCAGCAATTGTATATATTGTTATAGAGTGGGGATCCTGATAATGTCAAAATTAAGTTAAAACTTTGTATGCGCAATTTTGAAATCCTTTAATTTTATTGTCTTTCAACATTCCATTAATTCTACCTTGATATGCATTAAGTATACAACATGTCCAACATATCACTTAAATGGAGGTGGAGGAGGGGGATCAATTTCATTTTACCGGCTTAAAGTACCTAAGCTACGAATATATTTACCTCAATATAAATATTGATTTTCTTGTTAGCTTATTTCTGTGACGTGTAAGTATACGTTGTTTCCTTTTAATTTTGAAAGATTTTGTTTTGTAACTTTTTTTACAATGTGGAATCTATCGTTAATTAACCTTTACTAAAACCCAACGCATATACATGTATATATCTCCCTCGCAAAAAGTTTGAAGAGTCAAAACGGAAGAGATGTATGCAAAAAACAAGTAATCTGTCTATTAAGGGCATATTTCAATATATATATACATCAAATTGATTATAACATTGCTATATGGAAGATTTACATAATGCTTACTGCTGCAATCCACAAATGTTTTATTCATGATAAAAAATCCTATTTTATTAGCATGAAGAACGCTTACTCAGAAAATGATTTATCGACATACGGTGTTACCTATAAATATTTAAAATGTACCTGTTGATATCCGGGTGAAAAGGAATTCCCCAAAAAGTAACTGTGATATGATCAATCATCTTAGCAGGAAATAGTTTATTATGTTTCCTTGTTTTCTAATGATTTTATTGTTTATTCCTCACTAAAAAAAACCAAGATAACATGTCTTTCAAACCGGTAAAAAGCAAACATGCATTGTCATCTAGGATAAAGTCCTTCTATAAATATGATATACATTTGTGTGTGTGTGTGTGTGTGTTGTTTGTGTGAGAAGTTGAAAGTCAGAGATAATCATCAAGACTAACCATGTTTTTGGCAAAGGCAAGAATTGAAATCTGTATACGTATGGAATTGAAATATTTTCTGTTCATATATCATTATATTTTATATCATAATTATGTTACCTATCCTTTCTGTTATGATAAGCTTTTGGGATAAACTTTACCTTATAATATGTTATTTTAATAAACTCTCTTACTAAGAAAAAAGTTACAACTTTTGTATTTTGTATTTCAGCGTGTTGTTTTTTTTGTTTTTCTAAAAAAAAATAAAGGCATCTATTTTGTGTTTAAGTGCATGTACATTTATTTACACATTTATATAGGAAAGTTGTCTTGACATTAACAGTGCTTCCTTAAAAATTGCCTAAAAAGGGTAAGCACAAATAGAGTAGGTAGGGTGTCCGGAAACGAACATCTTGTTATGCCTTATAAGCTTGTAGAAAACGTTAAAACAATAATGGCACTCAAGAAATCATTACATTGAAATATTTTATCGTGTCAATAATATGATTTTGATTTACAGAATAAAAAAAATATCTAAAGTACACATGTAAACATTCAACAGATGGCTCTCACGTTGATAAAGCATAATCTGCATGAAATCGTATTTTGTTTTGACTACGCTGGAAATAAAATGTCCATCTTTTGTGGTCTATGATATTTTAGTGATTTATTATAATCAATGTAAAATCAACACTGGAAAAAATAAGTAAGGAATCGCTTATCAAAACATCTATACTTAGAGCCAAGTAAGGTAAACAGTATGTAACAATGTTTCTTAGTCCTTTTTGTAGTGTTAAGGTGCCAGCGTAACCAGTGAAATGTCATCTCGGTGTATATAATGATATTATATGATTTTTATTTCAGATATAAATGTCTAAAATACACGAACTAAAATTCAATGTATCGCTATTTGTCTGATATTGTATTATATTTTGACTAGGTTCGAAGGAAAAAGAGTATTACTTTTGATTTATGATATTTTATTGATTTTTTAACTTCAGTGTAATGGTCACTAGCAATACGAAGTAAAGTAATACCTATTTAAAAACAAGTACAACCAAATAAAGTTAAAAAAGCAGCTAACCAGTGATTCTATTTTTCGTTCGAGTTAAGCTAACCAGTAAGATTTTTTCTTTTTCTTTTAAAGCTAACCAGCGAGAATCCCTTTCTGTTAGTGGTAAGCAAACTAGTGAGAATATTTGTTCTCATTGCGTTAAGCTAACCAGTTAAAATATTTTAAGTGTTAAGCTAACAAATGATATGCTGTGTCCACGAGATCATGTGTATATAAAAAAAAATATACAGTTTATATTACCTAGCCAGGTGAAATTGACATACATGTACGTTGAAGCCACAGTGTAACCTGAAGACGTGACCCATCACATTTCAATGAACCATCAATCAAACACGGCGTTTACCTACACTGATGTTTGTATCCCATACTTACCAATGTACCACAGAGTAAAGCATGAACAACAAATATGATAGACACGGTCATAAGCATATTATTTACATATTATAGGTTATAGGTTATAGGTGATATCTATGGAAACCTATACGGGTCGTCTATCATTTTTCTCAACCTACTTATTACTAGAAACTATTCAAACTAACTACGAGATAGTAACTACTAGTTAGCTGTTATGTTATAACTAGGTAAAGTATTTTTGTTATTACTTAATATAATTATATGGTTATCTTATTATTATTATTATAATGTTTTCATGTGATTACTATGTAGTTATCCTGTTGTGACTAGATAGCCACAATGTAACTTGTAATTACAGGATTATCTTGTCATTAAGTGCAGTATTTTTGTTATTACTAGACTTACTAGAAATGATTAGATAGTTATCCTACTATTATTATTATAAAGTTATCTTGTAATTACTAAGTAAGTACCCTGTTATGACCAGATAGTTACATTGTAACTTATAATTACAGGATTATCTTGTATTTACTATATAGCTATTAAGTTATCATTAGGTGCAGTATTTTTGTTATTACTAGACTTAATAGAAATCATAAGACAGTTATCCTATAATTGTTATTATAAAGTTATCTTGTACTGTAAATACCAAGTAATAATCCTGTTATGACTAGATAGTAACATTGTACCTGGTAATTACAAGATTAGCTTGCTACTGCTAGATAGTTATTTGTTATTACTAGATAGGTCATAAGCTTGTTGTTACTAGGAAGCTATTTTGTCATTGCTAGATAGCATTCTTGTTATTTTAGATAAGTGATCTTGAAATCACTAGATAGTTATTTTGTTACAGATATAACTATTTTGTTATTTTATATGATATGTCTCATCAAAAAGCCCTGTTACAGGTACAAAAGAAGTTTGCCCACCAATCAATTTAATCATAACACGGATATATTTGTAGCTCCCTAACACACGATCCATGAATTTGTTTTTTTAATTAAAAAGGTCCCCGGGGCCTGTGCTATGACCTGTTTAGTGTGTACGACAGAGTTCACTTTTTTGTCCAAACAACTATCAAAACAATGTTTTACGCTATCAAATAATAATAAAAAAAAAAATCCTCATGAGTCGTGTCTTAGAGAGCTATAAATATAACCCAGCTTTGGTTAAATTGCTTTATGCGCAAAATTCTTTTGTTCCCGTAAAATGTCTTTAGACAGTTTGTTATTACTTGATAAATTTATTTGCATTACTGATGGAAGCTTAAATTTTAATGGTAATCTTGATCATTAACCTATTACGGTATTTCAAATTAGGTCAACTGTTTTCTACCGCCTTTGCAAATTATATATTCCTACTGTATAGCGGGTAATGTTACAATTGTACATTTTATGAGTTTTCTAAACGTTTTCTTCATGTTGGTAAGTATGAGTAGTAGAAAGGTTATGTACCACAACCACTAAGTGTACATATGCTTCACTGATAATTTGTCTGACGAATGTGACAGTGTATGTATCGTATACGTAGTAATCACAGGAAACGTCACACCTAAACATTTACTGGTTGTGATATATAACCTTTTTCTTATTTCTTTTATAATTTTGTAAGTTTTGGCTTATTATTTTCGAA